ACTGCCTGTTGTCCGAGTCAACTTTTATTTTTTTTAAGGTAGATATTGCCATTTTAAACTTTGTGTTTATATCGAAATTTATATCGAAATTACTTCGTGCTTGGCTTGAAAGAAAGTCAGAGCGTTTCCGTCAGAGCTCGGCACTAGAGCGCACCGCAAATGGGCGATTTTGATTGGTCATGTACCTGTTTTGCCACCATGGCTTAAAGAAGGGCATATCGCCTCATATTGCACGAAATAATTTACAATTAACAATAGTCATGCGGTGTATGAAACTACCCATATGTAATAACTATACACAGTGGCGATACTTTGTTTTTAAAAAAGTGTGTGGGACATTGCTAACACAATGCTAAATCATAAATCAGATGTATGTACAATAACCTTACGATGTCCAGCAATCGATCTAAATAGTACATTGGGTTTAATTTGTAGTTTAAGTGTGTACTTAAATGGTCCAGTGGCAGAATTTTTGCCAAGCGTGTCAGAGGTTCTGGGTTCTATTCCGCACTCGAATAGATTTTTTTTTCTCATCAAAACCGATTATGTTTATGAGTGGATGAATATCAGGCAGGGACACGTTTGTGTGCATTTTGTTTTGTAATTTCACCGTAACGAATAGTCACCACAACGGATTGAAGCACGTGTCCGAGTGAAGACAGTGCGGCGTGTGCGCGAGCAACAAGAGAACACATCCGTGCCTGTCAGGAATACGCTTAGAAACAAGGTTGTGGTTCCAATCGCGGAACGCAATATATTTATTGACAGATGTGTAGAAAGGCAGAGGAATAGTCAGGCAGACTGGGTTCTGTCTCGGCAGATCAGAGTTCAAAGACGGTACCAGGGATCGGACAAGGACAAGGTCGGTAAGGCAGGCTGATGGTCGGGAAAAGGAATCACTGGTAGACACAAGAATTGTGTCTAACAGAATTAGGCAGACTGGGAGAACGGGACAGGCTAATAACTGGTACACTGGTAATCTGATCAATCGTATTCATAAGCGCTCAGTAAGTCAGGAACGAACAATACCTCGTACTGATCGAAAGACCAAGTGCTACTTTTTTACCCCAACTAATTACTGGCAGGTGTGCCTATAACTCAGGTGATCCTGATCGGGGCTGATCTCTCCCTCTCTCCGGAGATCGGGGAGCTGTCAAAGCTGGCATAGAGGAGGACAAACCTCCGTTTCTAACAGCGCCACTGATCGCGGCTGCAACGAGCACTTTGATCACTTGATTTATAAAGCAACACATTTCAGCACTAGATAGCCTCTTATTTAACAAACGAAACGAATGAATTACAGACAGAATGAAATGAATGCTCTGCTAGTTCACTGGAGATTTATTTATTTATTTGTATTGGTACAGTCGTGCCGCGAGATGTTTCAAAAGTGGTGGGGACAATTCCCACCCGCAAATTACGCCTAAAGGGCCGGTTCAAAATCCCTCAGGGGCCGGACCTGGCCCGGGGGCCGCCAATTGAATAGCCCGGGTATAGAGGATCAGACGCCAAAAAAACAAATTACTTCTGTAGTTCAGAAGTGGAAATACTTCTGCAATAAGTGAACAGGCAAAAATATGTAATATTTAGCAGCGTCAGTATAGGGGTTGCAAAATCAAATACAAAAAGGATGGGATTTAATCATTCGTTCTGTGAACGCTGTTTCAGGGGAAGGGCGAATCACATAAAAATGACATAAAAAAATAAATGGTTTGACATGAAGTTTGAGGCAAAAAAGTATTGCCAAACACAAACGAGAGATGCTGACCACAGGAGGGGGAAAGGCTTGCACTGTCCTAACTAAGCTGGACCGGGCATTGGGGACATAATCGGAATTAGAGCTGCAGATCTTTGCCCGAACCCGACCGAACCCGACTCCCGACAAAATGACCTTTTAAAAACTGTCCGCTCAGGTCGGGCCGAATTCTCTTGGGCCGGTCGGGTCTCACTTTTTATCATTCCGATTACAGCTCTAATCGGAATGACCGCAATCTCGGGGGTGCCATCCACAGAAAAGCGTTAAATATATGCACATTTTTGTAATAACTGAATATTATTTATACTGTTATTCTTCATAATATTTAAAGCAATGTACAATTGATGAAAACGCAGAGACTAATGATTTGTCACGAAAATGTCAGCGCGCAAATCTGCGTAAGAGTGCTTTTCACTGTGCGTAGATTCTGTTCTTTCCTAAGAACAAATTCCAGATAAGTAAACATTGGTGAATGTCAGAATCTTCGTGGAAACTGCGTAAGTGGGTCTTAAGAACGAATTTCTTCTTAAGAACGGTTGAAGAATATGGCCCAATGTATTCAGAGTGGGATGATGCATTTTCCTACTGAAGAGGCAACTGTCACCAGAGAATATCATTGCCATGTAGTGGTCTACCTGGTCTGCAACAATATTAAGGTAGGTGGCAGGTGTCAAATTGCTGTCCAGATGAATTCCCGGAACCCAAGGTTTTCCAGCGGAACATTGCCCAGAGCATTGTCCTCCGGTTTGTCCTCTTCCCACATTCTCAGACCCAAGATTTTACGCTGCTAAATTATTGTGCCAGGGAGTAAGTGAGTAGGGCATCTCAATTTCCCTTGTGACTTGTTCCGATTACACAGGAGGAACGGAGCCCATGGACAAAACCTTGGGGCTACCAAATCCTAAGAATGTGTAGCTGACTCTTTTGAAGGCCCTGTCGGGTAGTACTCTCTAGGTTTCATCCTAAATTTGTCCCTTTAGAGAGTTTTTCCTAGCCACTGTTGTTTAACCTACTAATGCGTTCTCTGTGTGGTTTCAAGCTGGGTATTTGTTGAAATTACGGTGGCAGCATGAAGTGAAACCAAAATGTTAAAGCCTTTTTGCAAATTAATATAGATGGCCTAAAAGTGTACACTATCATTTAAAGTGCACATAGATATAAGCCTTTATGGTACCATATGTGGTCACACTAACTATTTGAAATTAAATCAAATTAATCTCAAAATATTTTCCATTATAAAACACTGAATGTCACTGGCCGCACTAGCTTTCTAGTCATCCAGGCAGCTAAACACTCTTCAAATAATTTCACAGGAGACACTGATAGTGTAAAACTGAAATCAAACATATAACGTAATAGTAATTTCTGAAAGTATCTCCATAAAAATATAGCAGGCAAAATAAAGTAAGGATGACATATAAACAAGTCTACTTACAGACATTGCGTGTAACAAACATATGAAGAAGGATGGAGAGGATTGAGATCAGCTTTTTACAGGGTTGAGTGTAACTAAAGAATTCCCTTAGAAACTAACATCCTGTTTACTCAAAAAACGACTTCCTGTGCTAGAGGTAAGTGCTATGAAAATAAACAGCCACAAGGTGTGACTAAAAATGAGAATGCCTATTATAATGGGTCCAATAAACGGTCCAGAACACTGAAGTTATAGATTTTATAATAAACAGTAAAATAATTGTAACCAAAAAATATATGATTTTATTAAAAGTGTTAACAAAATTGTTAACCCAAACTAGAGTAATAAATAGACCCGATGTTTGCTAACAAGGCCCAGCCATGCTAACAACAAAACAATCACCAGAAACAGGAAGTGCACCCCACTAAGACTCACCACACTTGTGACAGTATTGTGCTCAATTGATGCACACATGGTGAGAAATGTATGTTATACTTACACACATAGTATAAGTAATTTAATTTGGTTTAATTTAAAATAATTAGTGTGCTTTCGAGGGAAACAATGTTCAATGACCAAACATAATGCAGATTTCAACCGCTGTCTGAGCTATGATTAGTTTTGCCACTCTTTAATTCGCCAGTGGGGAAGGGAAGAAGTGTGCCTTCCCACACACATAAGCCGTGTAGTTTGTCAGTGAGGGCTGATCGGCACACCTCCGGTTGTTTTGCCAATGGTGCACCAAACACAAGGTTACTACAAAGTATTTTACTAATTACATTCCTCTAATACAAAATGATGCCTGTTCTCCTGTGTTAATTGCCACATGTAAATTGTGTAGTCAAGCTGAGAATAAAATCGTGTGTGAAACAAAGATTCCTCTAATACAAAATTAATTAAAGAACAAATTCATTTTGATGTATTTTAGTGTCCTTCCCCTTAGGCTCTGTATTTCTGTGGTATTCTGTCAACATAAGTTCTATGTTTTCGTCCCATACTTTACACAGAAGCGACATGGCTATATTCATGTTAGGAAATAGCGCATGATTATCTGATTTTGAAAGCGTATCTATGTCAATTCCGTCAATTTTCAGCAGTGTGATAATATCATGTTACATTTATTTCATCAAATTTCATTTGCGGTCTATAATGGGTCTTGGCTTCTCTGTTCTCAGACAAAAAGATTTACAGATGAAAACATATACAATTAAAATGCCGGATAGCGCGTTAGCATGTAATTTGAGCATAATAGCTCTAAATTCGCTTTTCCAGTGATTATTTTAACAGATAAAAATTACAGGGGGATAAAGCATGCATATATTGGAGCATTCATAAAAGGTTTATGTAAGTTTATAGAGTGCCGCACCCAAAACTTTTTTAAGTGCCTCTGGGTCAAATTACCTGTTTCCGTCGCTTCCGATGTTAAAGCACTCAGAAACAACTGTCCTTGTAAAAAGGGCTTTATAAAATCAATTTGTTTGAATGAATTTGAGTGAATCCTGGGGCAATCTCCTCCCCAGGTAAATACGTACATGTACACGGCGTCCCATGCAATGTAAAATTAAACAGGACCAAAAGAGCTTTTTCCAACTCATTCGGGCCCATTGTTGGCACTTCTGACAGTGAAACATGGGAGCCATCTGCAGAAGTGAAGCACTGTGTGTTGTGACACATTCCATTGACAACAAGAAGAGGTTGTTCGCATATCATCTAATCAACCAAGAACTTGATCAACCTCATTTGCTTCACCTGTGGTCATAAAGATTAAAATTTTATTTAACCTTTAATTAATCAGGTAGGCCGATTGAGAACTAATTCTCATTTGACCTGGGGAGAAGCTGGAGATTGAACCCATGACATCATACATACCATGCATGCACTCTACCGCTGAGCTACCAACTCCTCTTACAAGCAACGTAAGTCATTGAGAAGCTGAGGCTAAATTGATATAGCTGATATTTTAAGTTATTTGAGATGCAAAAACTGGCAAATACACTAAATATTAGTAAATTGTTGCCTTTATCTTTAAAAATGTAGGTGAAAAAAGATAAAGGACAGGATTGAACTGCTTTGAGGTAAAGTAGTGATATTAGGCATGTCATGTATGTCTGTTTGGATCTTCCTGAAAATACACAGGCCTATGGGGTCCTATAAAATCGGTTCAGGGGGTATTCACTCTTAACCTACAAGCTCCAGATACCACCGTATTGATACAGATTGCAGAAAAATCTAAATATGCTTGTAAATGAACCTTGCTGCCCGAGGTTCTCGTCACTGGTTTTTGCAGATGATATGGTCCTGATGACATCATTGGTCACTCAGTGGCCTTCAGCACTCACTGGATCGGTTTTCTTAGGAAGGTGGCAGGCCTCTACCATAGGGATAAGGTAAAAAGCTCAGTCATCAGTGAGGAACTCAGAGCCGCTTCTTCTTCATGTAGAAAGGAGCCAGTTGAGGTGGTTTCGGGCATCTGGCAAGAATGCCCCCTGGGCGCCTCCCTAGGGAGATGTTCCTCGCACGTCCAGCTGGGAGGAGGCCTCGGGGAAGACCCAGGACAAAGTGGAGATATTATATCTCCACACTGGCCTGGGAACGCCTCAGGATCCCTCAGTCAGAGCTTGTTAGAGCTGCTGCCCCAGGACCTGACTCCAGATAAGCGGTTGAGGATGAGATGAGAATGAGATGAATGCAGGTGTACCCCGAAAACATAATGATGTGGACATGTACCGGTTATTTAAATATTCATGATAGTAGACCGCGGATTGGCCAGTTCAACCTTCTGTACATATATAATGGCATTATCTATTTAATTTCTTTAATTTCACATTTGGGTGAATTTTTTAAAGTGTTTATTCTTCTGTAGATTCTAGGGTCAACAACATTGTTTGGGTATGAGTTGACAGATTTAACGGTGTTTACTAGGCTGTTTACTTACCAGCAGGATTGTGTGTGGAGATGTTTTGATGACACTCAACTTTGACATCATACAGTAGATACACCTGTTCCTGTGCTGTTAGGCCAACGTCTGGGTGGACCTAAAAGGTAGATTGGAAAAGTTATTCAGAAAGTTGTCTCAAAACGCAGATCTTAGATCATTTCAACATTTGACTCACAAATTATTAAGAAAAGGGGACTCCTTGATCCGATATATCATTTTGATCTAACGTAGAAGATCAGAAGTGGGTGAGATATCAGAAGTGGGTCCTTGTATAGTGGCTTTAATAATTTTTTTAATCTTTGTTTAACCTTTATTTTACCTTGCAGGCTGATTAAGAAAACATTCTCATTTGCAACGGCAACATAAGATAAGGTGAAGAAATGAGCAAGACAACATACAGTTACACAATAAATTACAAAAGTGCAAATAGCATTGGGACATAACAAGGCAATACAGCATAAAGTGGAGAGTCAATATACAGATAATATAGGATGAGGTATGTAGGTCAGTTGAACAGCATTGATATGGCAATAACAACTATATAAAATACAAAGGACTATATACAGAATGTAAAAAGATTAAAGTGTATCCAGCAGGTTGGTCATTTGTGCACAGATTATATGACTGTTTTGGGAAGAAGAGCATTTGAGCATGCCTGAGCAAATAGAATAATTCAAGAATGTAAATAGGTATGACAGAAGTGCAGGTGAGAGATCCACTGTGCAAAAAGGGCATGGCAAGGGTGGGAAGAGGTTAACGACAATTAACAAGTACAGTCATCAGACAGGTGTTCAGACAGGACTTGATTAAAGGCAACTGGTGAGATAAGGGTTTCAAGTTTTAGTGTTTTTTGTAATTCGTTCCAGTCATGGGTGGCTGAAAACTTGCCTAGCAAAGACTTTTAAATTAGTTGGTACCAATTAGTTAAACGTGAGTGTTTAATGGAGGCCAGACGACTTGTATCGGTGGTGGATGTTGTATGGGGCATTGGTAACAAAATATATAACACTATCGTAAACCACATACATTTTTTTCAGGAGAGAGTTGGAGGACGTTCTATAGATGACATCGCCAAAGTCGAACATTAATGTAATAGCCTTCACCACGGCATGTTTTTGCAGCATGAGTGAACAAGGCCCTGTTGCAGAAAATGAAACTGATTCTGGACTTAATTTTAGAATTGAGCTTGATTATGTGTGGCTGGAAGGAGAGAGAGCTGTCTAACAAGACACCTAGATATTTGTATGTATCAACATATTCTAGTTCAGACCCATCTAGCGTGGCAATGCTAGTTAGACGGGAAGGTGTGGGCAGTGATCGGTTGAAAAGCATGCACTTTGTTTAACCAGAGTTTAGTAGTAACTGTAGGTTTCAGAAGGAATTCTGAATGGCATTAAAACTCTCCTGGAGATTTAAGAGCACAGTATCTAACAAAGGGCTTGAAGTTTTGAGGATTATAACATCTGCATAGACATGTATCTGAGAGTCTCCATCAGCAAGAGCCACATCGTTAATGTGCAGTGCAGTGCATTTTGTTCATATTGGCCCCGCAACCATTTAATATACTACAAATGGTTGGATTTTAAAACAATTTCTTACAGTGCACCCGGAAAGTATTCATAGCACTTTAAAAAAAAAAACTTTTTCCACCTTTTATGTGACCTATAACGTAAACAATTCAATAAAAAAATGAAATCTGTTAGGGGGAAAAATACCAAATAAATACCTTAACAGAGGTGTGTAGACTTTTTATATCCACTGTACATAAGTATTCACAGCCTTTGCCATGACCCTCAAAATAAGCTCATGTGCATACAGTGATCCACCAAATCATCCTTGAGATGTTTCTACAACTTGATTGCAGTTGTCACACTTCTGGCTGCAGTGGAATGTAGAAATCTAAATGCAGTGCGAGTAGACAGTTTGTGGGTTTTATTATAAAATAAAGGAAGGTTAAAAACTAAACAATGTGAATGAAATAAAAGTCTGCAACAACTAAACAAGCAGCAAGCAATATAATTCCACATGTAACACTCACCTAACCTGAAATAACAACGTGACTTAAAATAATTAGAAGCAAAGTGCAACCACACCCAGTGACTTACATACACCTGCTAATTATCAAACTCAAACCAGGTGTGCATAGTTAACTCAAACCAACCTGAAGGAAAAGCTGAGAACAACACAAAAAGAATGAAAAGAGGACGACTAGTCATACTAGTCATCCCAGTACCAGGCCAGGCAACAAAATTCCCAAGGGGGGGAGGGTGGAGAACCACAGAGGAGGTGGTTTGGCTGGGAGTCTCCCCAGCAGCAGCTTCAGCCACGGAGGCAGCTTTAATGTCATTGTCCCCAGCGTGGGCGGCACTGGCTAAAGGGCGAGGAAGTTATAGGGGCAACTCCTCCTGAACGCAGGAGGGGAAGGAAGGGAACGGGGCCACACCTCCAGGAGCTCTGGAGGGATAGGAGGGGAAAGGGGCCACACCTCCAGGAGCTCTGGAGGGATAGGAGGGGAAAGGGGCCACACCTCCAGGAGCTCTGGCTGATGAGGAAGGGGATACTCCTCCAGGAGCTCTGGCTGATGAGGATGGGGCCACTCCTCCAGGAGCTGCGGAGGAGGGGGAAGGGACCACTCCTCCGGGGCTCACACACAGGTGGAGGAGGAGGAGGAGGCCAAAACCAAAGTGCTTGGGGTCATTGTCTTGCTGTATGATAAAATGCATTCAGTATTTTCTCCACACTTTACTTTTGCCATCACCTTGGCAAAGGTTAGTGATTGTCTCATCTGACCGTAATACTTTTTTTTCCACAACACAGCAGCCTCTATATGATATTGTTTTTAAAGGTTCTTTGTAATTTGACCCTTGCAGTGCAGCAGTTTCGCTGGAGAAGTCTTTTGCAGATGGTAGTGGTCCTGCATTGTCGGAATGTTTTTTAACTGTCTTTATTACGGCGTGCATTCTTTGGTCATCCAATGTAGAGGTAATTCTTGGCCTACTAGCCTAATAGTTTGAATTTTTGTGATCCATTAGGTGGCGTTGTGAACATCCTATCCCTAGCACCAATACTCATCATCACATCTCCAGTACCAGCTCCCATCTGTATCCACTAATCAACCTTCACCAATACTTATCACATCTCCATTACCAGCTCCCATCTGCATCCACTAATCAACCTTCACTAATCAGCCAATCACATTAGTTTCTCCTCTGTTTAAATAAGGCTAACTGTTTCTCCTTGTTAGAGGGTTGTTTGAGAGGAGATTTTTTGACTTTGGAAATTGAGACGTTGTTACAGACACTTTGCAACTTACACATTGAAATATACACTATTGAACACACATTTATTGAAACATACCTTGTGACACATACATTTTACCAGACACATTTTCTTTTTGTTTAGTTAAAGAGCTGTTCGTATTGGTCCATGTGGGTACGTACGTATGTTTGTGTGTATTTTGTCAGTTGTTTGGTGTATGTTGCATTGTTCATTTATGTATTCTGTCTTTTGTTTAGTTGTTTGTACTGTTCCGTTTCATCAGTTTTCCCAGGGAAAAGAGGTCAGCACCCTGAGGGTGTTTAGGTAAGAGGCCTGGGGTTTACATACCACCTGTAGATAACCTCTGTCTATATAGCCTATAGGTAAGACCTGGGGTTTACATACCACCTGTACATAACCTCTGTCTATATAGCCTATAGGTAAGACCTGGGCGGACCACCCCTGGGGTTTACATACCACCTGTACATAACCTCTGTCTATATAGCCTATAGGTAAGACCCGGGCGGACCACCCCTTGGGTTTACATACCACCAGTAGATAACCTCTGTCTATATAGCCTATAGGTAAGACCTGGGCGGACCACCCCTGGGGTTTACATACCACCTGTAGATAACCTCTGTCTATAAAGCCTATAGGTAAGACCTGGGCGGACCACCCCTGGGGTTTACATACCACCTGTAGATAAC